CTAAAAGGGAACAGTTGAAAAGCTCCGTGAATGTGAGCACCTGCTATTTAGAGAAAATAATTATTTAAATACTTCATCCTTTCCGCTTCCTAACTTTCCACTGTGAAACAGCTCCTTGCTTGTTACGCCGCAATTTGATCTATCGTTTGTACTTCATGTTTTGAATGACTTAAATTAGTTGGCTAAAATAATCGTCATGAAAGGCTGTGGCAATTTGCAGGTCTGTAGATGTACTTAATCTTCCTTTCGAGTAAAAAGTTAATCGTGATGTATCATGATAGAATTTTAGATCTATTGAGTTGGCTCCCAGTCTGATTCTTTGGACAAATTTTTTAAACTAAATTTTTCACATGAACACATTTTTTTTAAAAAAAAGATGTGTGAGGAAAATTATTTCAGTTTTTGTCTTGAATATTTGTTTCTTACCTTCTGTGTTAACAGGCATATTACGAAGGGAATTTTTTTCTATCATCTATAGTGCTTACCAGTTTTCACTTGAAAATAATGGTACCAGAGCAGGAGTTCATTGGGCTCCTGTACCTGGTGTCTGAGGCATCAAAATTATTCTAACAATTTCCGATTTCTTGTAAATCGAACAAAGCATGGCTGTTTCATAAAGGCAAATGATTAACCAAATGCAACTTTTTCCTTACTGATATGTTCCATTTTAATATTCTTGTCACCTTTCCAACGTGTCTTCATTTATCTCTGATGTTTTCAATCAGCTGGTAGCTTGCCGTATAATTAAGGAAATATTCTCCCCGCCTTCTCTGAACAATGCATTATGAACCTGACAAATTCATTATTCAGAAGCAGAAACAGAATGTCAGTAAGTCTGAGGCTCTTTGCTTTGCCACTCAGCTATTCTATTTGTTAAATGCAAATTAAATATAGAAAACTGTTTACATTTTTAACCTTTATCCTGAGAAAAATTCCCCGGCTAAGTATTAACATATGAAAAAAGTGATATATGTAACTTGGATACGTTAATGGAAAGATAGCATCCCTTGGTTTACACTTGTTAGTAGAAGAACTAATGCCCCACTTACACTAAGGCCTAAACATGTTTTAAAGCTGTTTTTTAATTTTTTTAACAGATTTTAACATTTCATTCTTTATATAGGCTGCTTAAACCGATCATTGTCGATTGAAAACAAAACACACAGAGAATATAAATTAGCGATTACTTGAATCCTATGAATAATTCAGTATTTCAGTTCTCTCTTTTTGATCTCATGCAGCTAGAACCGGTTTAGATAAACATGTTTTCCTTTTCCATGAGTCAGTGGGGTATAAGGTATTCTTTAAATTTTTAACTGAAGCTCTGACTCCCTCCCCTCGATCTTTTTTAAAAAGAAAAAACCTTATTCGGGGTATCTTTAGTCATTCAGCGCATCTTTGCTAATTTTAAGCTCAAAAACATTTAGCAAATACAAAACGGAAATATGTCTTAGAGCTAGCATGTTACAAGAGTTGGTCAGCTCTTTGACCTCATAGTAGGCATGCACCGTCATGATGATTATTTTCAGAAATAACGTATAGCTAACGTTTTCTCAATTTAAGCCGAATGCAAGCTTTATTTTTAGTCTTGTCCGATTTTATCCCTGAAAGCATATCAGCGCTTCGCCTGATTCCTTCTAAAACCATCTTTGTTTATCCTTGTAACTATTATGTTAATTTTACAACTCATCAGATATTCTGATAACGAAAGATCAAGAAAAACATTTCATAACATGACGTTTCGGCGACATGTCATCATTATCAAATGTAAAATTATTTTAAGTTCAGAGACGTTTTATTAAGTAAGGAAAGTGTGAATCTCCATTACAATAAAATGAGATGGACTAAAACAAAAGAATGTACATAATTAAATGAAAAGTTTCGCTGAGATGGAGTCTGTTTGAATGTTCAGAGTCGGTCTCTTTTTCCTTATTAAAAGCGTTTCATAAATAAGGCGCTCAAACTTTCCGCGGCATTTCTTTAGGATGGCAAATTGCTCGTGAAGATTGTTCGGTCTTTGATTGTATTCGTCCTTAAGATGTTTACCGATAACGGAAAATGCGAAGGTGGAGGTGACGGTTCGTGTAGCCTATATAATCCGCATCACACGAATTACCTTCAAATTCATACACAACGCATTGTAGGTTTATCAGTGAGGGCTTTTTTGTTTCCGTGACTTTTAAACCTTTCGCGATTTTCCTACCTGTGAAAACTAGTTGTAGTACACGGTCGATTTTCTTTCCAAGGTCTCCAAGTTGTCTGCGCACGGTGTCGGCAAGGCATTTCAGCGAAACTATTCATTTAATTATGTACATTCTTTTGTTTAACTCTATCTCCTTTATTCTAATTTAGTTTCACACTTTTCTTACTTTCTATAACATCACTGAAGTAACAATAATTTTACATTTGGTAATGGTGACATGTCTTCGCCGAAACGTCATGTTTTAATCTCGCTATTTCTCATCATCAGATAACGTCAGACCTGAAACATTTTGTAAAGGGACGTATATCAAACATCACAGCGCCAACACATCCAAACTTTCTTTAAAAAACATTTTTACAAAAAAAAGAAGGTGAGAGTCTAAACTCCGTAAAAAATATATATATAGAACTTGTTAAATTAACCACAACATTTGGCTCAAACATAGATTCCGAGATTCCAAAATAACGGGGTAGCAAATTTGGGTGAAAGAAAGCTAAAAAAAAAGCTAAAAACCAACTCTGAAAAACAAAACAACAAAAGCACGCGAAAGTGTCCGGGTCATATTTCCAGTATCAAGGTTTAGGGTCATTTAGCGTGATTATCTAATATGGTAAAATTGCGTGCTCCAAGCGTGAATACAAAATGAAGTACTAAAGAGGAAGAGGAAGAAAAATCAAAATTTAAAATAATAACGGAAGAAAATTTCCACATTTCCCTCCTTTTATGTCACCACTCGTTATATTCCTGTGTAATATTACGGGCTTGTGGGAGTCAGTTGGTGTTTCTCCTGTTTTACATGTTGCTTCTCTGTTACTTTCGAGCTCCATTTTAACATTCGACCACTACGTTTACTCTGTGAAAATGCCAAAGTGTTTTTCTTGTTGGAGGTGTTAGTAGTGCGCGTAATGCCAGGCTAGCTTGAATTATATACCCTAGGAGTGCGGTTAGCAGAGCACAATAACCTGAGCTTTTGCCTGAAACGCTCATTGAGCAGTGCATAAATGTAAGGGTTGATAGCAGAGTTGAACATGAACAAAGTGTCAGAAACGACGTATGAGACTGAGCCAAATATGAAGATGTCAAGGTGGCTTAAGATGTAAGCCAGCAGTCCTGTGATCCAACAAGCTCCAAATATGGCGCTGACAGTGATCATACTCAATGTTACACGCTTCCTCACCTTAAGGACTCCCTGCAAAAAAGAAAGCAAGAATAAAACTCAAAGTGCGATGACTTACGGGCTGGCAGGATTTTAAGCTCCTGGGGGATCCTTAGGATCAAAACAAACTTTGCCAAACCTACCTAGTTGTCATAACCATTCGGTGGCAGCGATGATGAGCCTTTCCCGGCTGCCTTTAGGATTAATTTCTTGCCTCGCGGTGTAAATCATGTCCAGTTTTGCATTTTAACACGCTGGTGTCAATTAATTACATGCTCACCAAAGAGTAACCTCGCACCTCAGAACAATAACTCTGTTAACTTGCATTAACACGACAAAGAGTAAAAATTAACATTAGATCCATTTAGCCCAGAGTCCTACCTTCTGTTGAAAGGCGAGTTCATTTTCTTCGTTTCGTTTGAACCACAACATGTAAACAACTTTTGAATATAAACCAGTCATCACTAACAGAGGAATTAGAGCCAACAGTACCAGCCAGATGGTGTCGTACACTGCACCCATCCATTGCTCGTGCCAATTCCACTTACATTTGCGAGTTGTTTTATCATAAGTCGTAACCAGGAAGATTGGTATACTGAAAAGTGCTCCAATGCTCCAACAAGCGGGAATAATCGTCTGAAATTAATCCACAGACTACTTTTAGAAAGCTGCATTCTCATCAAGACTAGGAGCATTTCATTAACTACGTGATTTAGGCAAAAATTAGATAGACAAATAGGAAATCAAAACTGTATTTTGATGCTGCTTTATCACATAAAATTGTGTTGACGCACCTTTACTTTCCGCATGGTTAGTTTTGCATTGCTACTAACAGGACTCGTGACAGTATAGAAGCGTTCAACTGATATGACAACGAGGGTCAAAGCAGACGATGCTACTCCAATCCATGCCACATTACCGCCAGTGAGAACCTTACACAAGACTGATCCAATGGTGTTGTCTGGATGATTGAACGATTTTTTCAAAACATGATTTGGTGCTATGAAAAGCGCAAACACGATGTCAGAGACCGCCAGGTTGGCCAGTAGGTAGTTGATGGGAGTCCTGCGGAATAGATGCTAATTATGCATTGAAAACATGAGCAGGTAGGTCTTAATTAGTGCGCAATGCAGCCGACGACAAGAAAATGTTGCTTCTCAATGCTTGCATGCTTCTCTCAACGTACTTTAGATACGCTTGATGTCAGCAAATCTGATGACGATCCTTACGCACCCAAAAAAGATACTGAAAGCGATCGAGTCACCCGTCCCTGTTTGATTAAATTGAGGTGGCATTCAAATATTTTACTATATGGCATGATCCGCACGCGGTTTAGACTGCTGCAAAAATTCGCTGAAAACATGGCAAGAACCTTAAAAATACAATACTGCCTCGACACAAGACCATTCAGTCAAGTATGAGGATTTGCTGGCAACTCTCTGCCAGTCTTATAATTAAGAAGGTTTCCAAGTTTGTATCCAGTTGTATCTGGTCTGCCATGGGGTAAGTTATTTTTTTTACATCGGGTCTTATGAAGAAATTATCGGCTTAAGGCTCGGTTCTCTGAGAGAATTATTTTACAGATATTTAACGCACCTCATATCTCTATATTTCTTTATGACGAGACAAACTAGACAGTTACCAATGATGTTCGCAATGATGAGTAGGGCCAGTATCGATGTTACGGCAATTTCAGCTGGTTCGGACATTATTAGAAACTGTCAATGACAAAAGAAATATTTTTACGCCACCTGTCAAACGATTTAACTCGTAATTTCCACGTATCATTTCAAATTTTTGTTCCATCATTAATTTGGTGTACAATCATTCCCCAAACGCTGTACAATTTTCGGTGTCACTCAAAGTTAAAAATTAGCTATTTAATATGACAAAAACGACCTTAATTGAACCGCTATCGGAAAGAAATTGTTTTGTCTTTAATTTCATAATAAACAACATCGATAAAGATTCGCAGGATAGGATAGTAACTGTAAAATTCCCAAAACAATAATAAATTGAAAGAGGATTTTTTATAAACATTTATTCGGCTATTAGAAGGTAATAAACTAATGAAGGTCACATTTTGACGGGCAGCCTCAGAACAGTTGGAGTCACTGCTTATCCAGGCCATTTTCTCTGATGAAAATTTAAATAAATCAAAGTTTTTCTAGAACCAGGACAAAAGAAATTTGCGTAAGGTAAATTTATAAATGTCATTTCAGTAACATCTTGTAGTTTAGAAACGATTTTTAACAGATGATTAAAAACAAGAAACTCCGAGCTAAATGGCGTTGAAATGGCGTTCACGGGAATCCCAACTCTCCAAGGAGGTTTTATGTGAGGCGACATGGAAACGGAACGCGACCGTTTCTGATTTAGTCCTTGGGCTTGTCTATAATTTCACTTTATGTAGTCTACAAATACAGGTAAAACATCTCTCTTACGAACTGAAGTAAATGCTGAAGTAATGTCTTATCTCCTTTTCAAACCCTACCTTTTGTCATGCATCAATCCCTTCCTCTTGTGAAAGATGGCAATGCTTATGATAATTAGTCACGTTCCAACGATTACACTGCTTCGAAAACCGAAAAACATCTAATTGTTATGTAATATTCATGAGAGCAGAAGACTCGCATTTAATTACCCTTGGACCATCTGGTACCTTATTCTGAAACTATTCATATTGATGTCCGTCAAAAACGATGAAATATTTCTGGCCCACTGTAAGCAATCTCGAAAAAAAAAAAACTATTTGAAGTTGTTGCGGTTAATGATAAAACAGGAATGCTTTCAAAAGTTCATTTTTTATGAAGCTTTTATGAATAATTAAATTTATATTGGCAAAGGAAATTTTTTGTTTATTTAACTATTTCGTAAGATTGATAGTCGAAGTTTTCTTTCCATGCTCGCAGTAAGCTCTAATACGTCTTTTAGGATTTGACTGTCAATATGGTATTTTTGTTCTTTACCCACGGAACATGTCGTGTTTGGCTGAACTAAGCACCTTAATTAGTAATGATGAGTCGATTACTTTTTTTTAGTTTTCAAATAGTTATTATTAGTTGGAACACCTCGCACGTTTGGTTATGATAATTACAGGGAATAATGGCAGCTAACTAAACACAGTTCAGGATTAATTATGTAAAGAGAAATAAGTGTTTCACGGATTAAAAACTAATCTTGAGAACTACAGGAGAACCTTACTGACTATAACCGCCACAATAATTTAAATAGATGGAGTTAGCCAGGGTGGACATAAACTTGAAAACCATAGCTTAAAATTAATATAACAATAATTGATGAGCGAGTTCCATGTTTGATTTTCTCATGTTAATTATTCATTCCTAGACGACAAGTTGTCACGAGTCTTCCCTGGAAGGAACTCTCTGCTTGTTAGAAGCTTTAAGATTGCAGTGAAGTATTTAGAGAGATTGTAAAAAATCCTTTTAAATGTATGCGATGAGTTCCATCTGCATGTAACTTAAACCTATAAGTCCAAGGCTAGGCAGACACCGTGCATAGATATTTTAGAATGGGTTAACAATATAACAATAACAATAGTGGGAAATACGGTTACGTTCAAAAAAACGTGCTACATTAATTTGCGTATGAATTATATCAAGGGAACCATAGCTTAATAGCAAGCTTGGTAATTGTCGTTTACGCATCAAGCAAGCGTCTTTAATTTGAGTATTTCTTTCTTATGATAAATGGAAAGTGGAATAAGAGTTTCACGAATTATGCTTATTTAAAAAATCGCATAAATGTTACTTCACGGGAACCCTATTGACTCTAACTCACACAATGATTAAAATACCTGAAGTTCGCGTTGTTGGATATGAATTTTAAGTATCTTGTTAATATTCAGTGATGACTGAGTTTCATGCTTGATATCGTCAAGTTAGTTTAATATTTATATATAGTCTATACATTGTCACGAGTCCCTCTGGAAAGAACCCTTCGCTTGCAAGAATATACCACTGTACACTTCCATTGCAATGAAATGTTTACACTTCATCTTATGAGGTACGCATTTCAAATGCAAGTCTTAAATTCTGTCGTCTATTGACTTCATACTTTTAGGCTTAAATCGTCAACAAATACTTTTGTATGAGTGGCTAAACAGATACATGCACGTGGGTGGTGAACGTCAATGTACTTATCAAGTATCAAGTGAAATTTACTTGAAACCCCTTATTTTCTCTTGCAAGTACATAATGTTCTGAATGGGTAG